TACATAAATTCAGATATCAATGTAATTTAAACAAATAATAATTATTATAAATAGATTTTCAAATATATGAATAAAATATATTTTCTTTTTTCCATTTGTTTCTTAAGCTCTTAACAATGTGATTACATGAAGAAGAAAAAAAAACTTGAAAAAAAAAAAAAACGTTCTGGGCCTATAGGAGGATATAAAGATAGTGTGTCTTCTGAGTGATGGTCCACCATCAGGCTAAATAGGCTCTTTAAAGCTACACAAAATGTGTAAATGTAATTAAAATAAACAGACAGCCCACTTCCCTATTTTGCGGATTTTGGAAGATGTGTGATAGGCTAAATGTTGAAATTGTTGTCCAAATGCTAGAGCAACACATGCTAATCCAAATGTAGATTTTTTTCCCTTCAAATGACACTGTCTCTTTCTCTCTCACACATAGGCTAGTTATGAACACCTTAGACTTTTAAGGATTGTGCTTTATTTTTTAAAGTTTGTGGGTGAGAATCGTGCAAAAAAAAAAAATCCCTTATTTTGGGGATGGATTCCGGGAAAACTCCCTTTCAATGTTCAATGTTGACAGCTATGCGTTGTGGTCGTAACTAGTTTAAATCCTATGCATTATAGAAACATTTCGTTTAGTTCTGGTGATGAAGTCATACTTTATTATATTAATTTGGCCTCAGGAATTTACGCCCTAAAAATAGCTATTATTGACAATCCCATCCACACCCATTTAGCGCTTCCCTGCTTTTACCAACAGGGGGAGACAAATACCACAACACCACGAACTAGTAGCCTATTACGAGAACACAAATTAGCTAAGCGTTTTATGTTGTTTCATTTAACATTTCATCACTAACCACAGTAGGTTAGCCAATACAACCACATTCCTGTTGTTCATGAATGTTTTTCACATTTCATATTCCTTCAGCGTTATTTCTTGTACAGTCTGTTTTTGGTTTGTTTGTTTGTTTGTTTGTTTTGTTTGTTTGTTTGTAAGGCCAGCTGCACTCAACTGTCATTCATTGTGAGAGTTTTTATTTTATATTAGGCTATATTCCTCCTACATGCAGGTTGCATACATTTTTAAGTTTACATCCAATATTTTTGATGTAGGCCTATGCTTTTTTTTTTTTTCAGAAAGATTTGAGAATTTAGGAATCTTTTAAAAATGTTAATCCACTTAAACAAGCTCTCATTCCCATCTAGATTACTGTAATACTTTTTGGCACATAGTCCCATAAAAATAACGACTTTGTATTGTGTGATAAATGGTTGCTTGTATCAACATTAAAGGTTACAATTTATTTGAATAATGGAGACTAAATATAATTGTCTAGAGATGTATATAAGTTTTTCACCATTTTGATTGTTTATGGTTTCACCATCTGAAATCTGGTGATATTAGTTTTAACATATAGTTTACTCTATTATAAAATGTTTAGCATGCCACACTGCTGGAAACTGTCACTACTTGAAATGTCATGTCAATGTTTTTTTGTTGTTGTTTTTTTTTTTGTTTTTTTTTTTGTTGCTTTTTTTTTTTGGTCTGGTCTGGTCATACACAGAAGAGGCTTAAGCCTATTTCCTGACTAAAATACAACTTTGAACTGATTTAACTGAAAGCGATTTACACTGGCAAATCTTAAAATATGGCAGTGCCATTGTTTTGTCTCAAGATGCACACCAGTATTGTTTTTTTTTTCCTTTTTTTTTCTAGGGCATGTTTATAAAAGCTACTTAAATGTCCTAATTGAAGTAAGGCCTAATCCTGTCTTATTCTAAACCCTGTCTGTGAAACCAGACCTTAATATGTTTATTTGGTCAAGTACTGACTGAGTGTGCTGTGGACATGGTTACATAAAGAACTGTCTATCTAAATATTAGCCCAAAAGCCGGTTTGTTTGCTTGTTTGTTGGTCTGCAGTCAGTGGGTATTTAGTGTCTTAGCCCCATATAAACAGTAGTTATTTATCTACATCTGGCATAAGTCTGAGCAAGTTTAAACAAGTAGCCCATTTAATTTACAACTGAAGTGAATGCGTGTGAATGTACCCCACGCCTCCAGATCTCAAGGGGCCAAAGAAAGCTAATTTTCATCCAGCGCTCCAGCCTCATTCTCTCTGTCTTGCTATGTGTGCACAACCTATATCAGTCCCAGAATGCATCAGATGCATTGCTGTACTCACAGTGTAACCCACTTACAACTAAACCAGACTGAATAGGAAGCTTATTCACACAGTATGGACCAGGGTTAAATATGGTCAGGATCTCGCTCTATCTCTCTTCCATTTCAGTCTCCATATCAAAATGGCCTTGTAAACTTTTATTACCCCTTATATGTCATGCAGGAAAGAGATGAAGCCCGATGTTCTAATTACCAGAAGGTTACACCAAGAGGAAAATGTTATTGCACTCTCATAGCTCCGGGGATTTAAACAGAGAGTTCTCTGTCTTGTTTTATTTATGTAAACACTTTGTCTCAGATGTTTTACATAACATTTCATATAGAGACACAAATGAGATCATTATTAACACAAAATAAGTATAGGTGATATATGAGTGATAATACTTATTTTGCATGTATATACAGTATATATATATATATGTTCACAGATAGATAGATAGATAGATAGATAGATAGATAGATAGATAGATAGATAGATAGATAGATAGATAGATAGATAGATAGATAGATAGATAGATAGATAGATAGATAGATAGATAGATAGATAGATAGACAGACAGATAATGAAATGCAGTATGCAATGTGCTGCTGGGCAATTGAGTTTCATATCATTTGGCACACAGGTTTTTCCTGCCAGCAGGACTTTGCCCAACTCTTTGGCCATTAGAGGATTTATGTTACCATTGGTGGGTACAGTAAGACTGGCACACAAACAACAGACATTATTTGCAAAGAGCTCAAGCAACTAAGCTGCAGTTAACAAGACATTGGGTGGTTTCCAAGACCACAACAATTTTTAGATTTCCAAAGCAATTTCTTTTTTTATCATTGTTTCTAAAGAGAGAGATGATCAAAACTTGCATATCAGTGATCACAAACTTTTTATTCATAACTTGTGATATGCAAGTTTTGATAGTGTACGGGATCTTCTCTTTGGCACATTTTCGACTGATTTTTTTGGTCGTTTTTTCTTACGCACCAACCAATTGCAGGTGTGCGATGTTTTTTTTTTTTTTCATTTTATAATTTATCATTGTTTCTAAAATGCCGGTGACCTGATAAAAGGAAATCAAATTCTTCATATTTCATCTTTTTTTTTTCCTGGTGTGATCTGCAGCTTCTAAACTAGTTCAGCCCCATGACCTACAGTTCACTTCCTGTTTCTCTCAAAGCACTTCCTTTGCACTTGCTGATGAGTCAGAGAGTGCAGTTTCAGTGACCTTTACTATTGCAGTGGGTGGCTGTGTGTATGTTGGTATAAATATGTCGGGGTGTGGTGAGTGATTTAGTGTGTAAAAGCATGCCTACTTTGGCCGGAGTTGTTGCCAGCATAGTTATTTTATGTCAGAGCACTCACAAACACATGGACGCAATGCACCACCTTCAAGTTTTAACAATGGTTGTGTGAATTTACTGATTTTCAGATCGGTCTTGGAGAATAGAAGGAATAAATAGACATTTCCTCTAGTCCTTCTGGTTGCACACAAACCCATAAGCATGCCTCCACAGTCAAAGGACACACACATCAACACACATCCGTTCCACTACATACAAAAACAACACTTACAAATCCAGACAGTGGAGTTGTTATTAACTGTGGTTTTAACATGCACACCCCTTGCTCACACAGGCATTATGTAGCATTTTGATTTCCTGGTTCAGTTTTATTTTGAGCAAATTATCATGAGAAAGAACCTTATTGGTTCTCGCACATCAAGTAAACATGCTTGAACTGAGCGTCCGTTTACCACAACTGATGTGTGCGCTGGTGATTGTTTATGGTTAAAGCTGTCTATGGAGGGGCAGAAATCTCTCATATTTCATTTAAAATATCTTCTTTGTGTTCCGACGATGATCAAAGTGTAATTTTTTTGTGTGATCTATCCCTTTAAAATTGTCTGTGAAGCCAGTGGATTGTGTCTTAAAATACAATAAAATATGATAGTTAGTACAGCGATCGTACTCTGTAGCTTGGCAACATGATAATCAAATGCTTTGGCTTCTGTCTGAACCATTTATATTGACTCAACATGAGCCTGTGGCCTTGTGCCTATGGCTGAATCACAACAGCATTCAATGTGATTGTTTCTTAAAATAAGAAAACCAGATCTTGTTGTCTGAAGCAACATGTCTATTAGAGGATTGCAGATTTTCAAAATTATTTTCTAATGAAATTTACTTTTTTGCTGATTTATTTATTGACAGATCTTTACAACAAAATGTGTAACAGAAGTTGAACTAAATCAGTTTAAAATACAAATAAATAGATTTTATGCAATGCTTAGGCATATTTAAGGTTACAATTCGAATAGCCCACACATTTCTAAAGAAAAAAAAAGATTAATCTGTGAAAGTGTATTTAACACTCAGCCAGAATTCCTCTCATTCTTTCGTCTTAATTTCAGCTGAGTGGTAAAAAAGCTTGACTGCATTTACTAAATTGAAGTCAGCACAGCTGCCTGTCAGCTCACAAACTCCCTCATTGGGCTCTTCAATCCATTATTCTCCCCCCTCAATTCCATTTCTCCGGGCTTTGCAGCTCGCCACGCCTCGCCTCGTTTTTTCTCAATAGTTGTCAGAGCCTCGGGTCACTCACTAGTCGTCGTGAGGCATCCTCCACTCCCTTTCTTTCTCTCTGTCTGTCTCCCTGTCCTCCACCTTCTCAGGCTCCAGCATCCTTTTTGCAAAGGCTGAGAAAACCGTGGACCGCGAAGCCGTTCGCAAATTTGAGGTTGTTTGAGCTCTTTATTATTTGCCTGAGTGAGGCAGGAAAACAAACGCGAGTCTTTTCTCCTCAAAAGTTCTCTACCCAAACTCCGACCATGTCCGGCGAAGACGCACCTGCCCAGCAGCAAAACGCCGAGGAGCAGAAGCAGCCGCAGCAGGAGGAGACCAAGACGCCCGCCGAGTCCCCAAAAACCGAGAGCAAACCAGACCCACCGCCCACCAGCGCGTCCACCGAGGCCGCTGCTGCCGCTGCCGCCGCCGACACCCCAGCGCCTGCCGCCGAGAAAGCCCCAGAGGAGGACACTTTCAGCTACAGGGCTCTGGTGCTCACCGGTTACGGCGGGTACGATAAGGTAAAGCTCCAGGTGAAGAAGGGGAAACCGGTGCTCAAGAGCGGCGAGGTGATGGTGCGCGTGAAAATGTGCGGGCTGAACTTCGCCGATCTGATGGCGAGACAGGGACTGTACGACCGACTCCCGTCCCCGCCGGTGTCCCCGGGCATGGAGTGCTCCGGGATCATCGAGGCTGTCGGTGAAGATGTGACTGACAGAAAGGTAGAGCAAACTCACTTTATTCTGTGAAGACATTTGATTTATTGATATTAATATGCGTTCGGCGGTGTTAATTTTCTTAATTTTATGACATAGCTAACGAGTTTGTTCAACACACAACGTGTTTTAAAATGTTTTCTCAGTTATGTAGCCTGTATATTTGATTATCTTTAAAGCTGTTCCAAAAAAAAAAAGTCAGTCATTCGAAGAGACCCTTCAAAGTCCTCTCATTTTCACTCGCCACCGGAGACAAAAGAGGAGCGGGAGGGGCGCCGGTAGCCTTGTTTCAGAAGCACCGGAGCTCTTGTCGCGCTGACCCGAGCAATGGCCCAGAACGCTAAACGTTCACGGGAGCGCGAGTTTTGCTTGAGCGCGGGGGGAATGGAAAGTAGCCTAATAAAAACCAGCTTGTGGTACTTTATGCACACAGCTAAATAATAACGCTCATATTATAAACGATGACATATCACGTCACGATCAATGTAGGTAGATTGGTTTATTATAATAGAAGCGTTTGGTTTTATGGCTTCAGAGTGTGAATTGAAGGAACCACCACCCTCTTTGTGAGATTGACGGTTTTTGCGAAGTCTCACCTGAGACGCGTCAATTATAGTCGTATGAAGTATTGAGATAAAGCTTTCGACGTTGTTAATTCACTTTCAGGTGTTTGTGCGCGAGTGGAGGACTCTCTCCCCACGCGCAGGAAAAAGGGCGAGGCTCGCAAGGGGGGGAAATGCTAATCGCACGCGCCTTTTGTCATCTGCCTCGCGCATTGTGACATCGACATACTCTCTGACATCATTCACCAGAAGTGCCAGATTTTTTTTCTTCTATTTTACCCTCTTTACGAATTAAAGTTCTTCCCTTTAGGCCTATATAAACGTAAACGCCTATTTCTGTAGGCATCGCGCCAGCAATACAATTTCTTAGTATTACCATATTTGATATAGTTGGCCACCGATTCTAAAATACTGTAAATAAACCTAATTCTCGGTCGGGTTACTTTCTCAGCCCTAAAGATCCACAGAACACAGCGGAGTCTAGTGTGACGTGGACTGATTGACTTTCTATGCGCTCTATATGAACAAATCGATGAGTCATGCCTGGTGGTCGCTGCTGGTCTCCATGGAAACGTATCATGGCAACGCCATGCACCGGCGCTGGCTCTCTTTCTCTCTGTGTGTGTTGAAAGGATTTGATATTTGTGTTACTGAGAACAATAAACATATTTAATGAGAACCAGTCGAGGTAAGATGTTTAATAATTGTGTGAAATGCAGATTAAAACCCGAGCCTTTGTATGTTAATGACTTAGAGAGTGAGAGAGAAAGAGGGAGAGAGCAAAAGCAAGCACTAGGCGTTGGCTGGTGGGTGATGCGGAGGAGGAAGATAATGGTTTAGCCCTTCCTCAGCCTTGTCTGTCAACAATATTGAATTTAAAAGGTCATGGTCCACCCTATCTCTCTCGCTCTCTGTGTATTACCATGTCAGCAAGCAAACAATTGCTTCATCTCACATTTGGAGACCTGTGTTTGGCAAAGCTGACATTGTTTGGTGAGCATGTGAGGTGAGGAATCTGCTGATTGTGATATCCAGAAAATTACTCTTTCTTAGAGGAAGAGACAGATCTCTGTAAAGACGCTCTTGAGAACGGTAGAGGTGAATGCTAAAGAAGGCCATGGCATCCTCTCACATGACTTGACAGATGTTATTCCTAAACTGCTCTCTTGTGCCCACTCTTAGTATATATTAGCATTTTTTCATGAATAATTTATATAACTTGTTGCTTATGCACACACACACACAATATTTATCAGAGTTCTGCTGTGAGGATCAGATGCATCTGTTCACAATTATCTTCCTCTGGACCACATTGTCAGCCTGGAATTTCCTCTCTCTCGCTCTCTCTCCCTCCCTCTGTTTGTGTGTGTTGTGTGATTTGACAGGTCGATGATAAACAGCGATGCAGTGAATACCAGTAAGTGAATAGCAGGGACACACGCCGTTTTAGCTGAATCTGATGGTGCCATGTAACGATTTTCATCGAGAACCATTTTTAAAATAAGATTGTTTACATGGTATCCTGATGTCTTTTAAAGTAGTTGGATTTAAGAGCAGTTTAACTGCACAATTAGAGTAGAGTTACGGAGAAGTTGTTGGCCAAGATTTGTTCAGTTACTATATCAACATACTAGAGTTGTGTCATTTTGGAATAATAAAAAACATTTTTACTGCGCTGTAAATGACAGTAGAACAAGAGAAATGGTAGCAATATTTTGACAAAGGGTAGTCAAGAACTGCCACTATGATGGAAGTATGACATAATTTGACAACTGTAAGGATTAAACAATTTAGATTAGTATAGTTTCACCAGGTGCCACATAAAACAAGGAAAAATAAATGGATATACTTAAAGTCAAACTCTGATGGCAGTAGCTTGTAGTGCAATTTAAGTATTTTAACTTTGCATTTAATATTTTTTTTCTTTTTAGTTCTGCATGGAATCTGATAATAAGACAAAATTCCCCAAAAGACCAGCTTCCACAGTACTAAACATATCTGTGTGCAATCTTATCTATGAAAAATGTTCTGCCGAGTGGCAAGTCAGTAGTTAAAAAAATCCATTTTATTTTTATATGAAAAAATATATGAAAATTAAATAAAAAATAAAATGAAATAAAATTTTATATGAAAATTAAATAATATTGAAATAATGTATAAAATTCCACCATTTTTGACTTTTTTTAGTTCACTTTAAATCCCGCAGTACCAAAAAGTGAAGAAAAAAATATTAATTTGTGTAATCTCTAAAGTAATGAGGTCATTAAACTGCTTGCATATTAATTATTAAAAAAATAATTAAGCTATTAAAAATAAAGCTATTTATTTTAGTACACACCACAGGACATGTCAACTTCCCTAAAGTATTTCATGTCAGCATTGAGTTTAAATAGATATCGAAATATAGCAGAAATCCATTATAAATTAGTTCCTGGATTAATTGCTATTTCATAGATGCAACAGTGTATTTTTGTATTGATTGCACCCCACCTAGAGCGTGCTGGGGTTAAGCGTCTTGCTCAAAGGCACAGTGGTGATAAAACAGGATTGTGATCTTAATATCTCACTGCCCCACGTGGGATTCTGAGTGGCCATCCTTTGTGCTTTCAGGCCGGAGCCTTAACCGCAGGGATACTGCTGTCACATACAAAACAAACACAGATAAAATAGACGAAATCAGTGCTGGGAGACAGCAAAGCTTTATGGAGCAGAATCCTATTTCCACAGCAACAGGATTACAAGTTCGCCGACAGATGTATTTCATGAGCCTAATGCATTAGCCACTTTACCCTTCACAGTCAGTGTGTGTGTACAAGTGTGTTTGAGTGTATATGTGCATGCTTACAGGAAAGGAAGACAAGGGAGAGACTCGTGCAGCCAGTGACGGACGTCTCACAAGACCTTGAGCTGGCCTTGATCTTTGCAACCTCAGCTGAAAAGTGTTTGTTTTTGTGCAAGCACAGAATACAAAGTATGATAAGTTTGTGACACAAGTGTGACTGTTGTGCAAGTCTGACGAGAGAGAGAGAGAGAAAAGGAGGGAGGAAGAGATTTGGTTTCCCCGTATGTTGAGTCATGATCATAATTCCTGGCCGAGACATGAATGCCCATTGATCTGTGATGTGCAGAAAGTCCAATTAAAGGAGGAAGAGGAATGGCAGAAAGCAAGACTGAGATGTGGAAGACGAGATGAGAGAGACAGGGAGGAGAGATGAAATGGGGCAAAGACATATCGGCTTGGGAGTAGCCCTGCTCTCTAATTGGACAGTATAGACATAGATGCCCATGTGTCCCTTGGGCCTATTAGACTGTGTGTGTGTGTCTTCCTGTCGGTGAGAGGAGCGCTGGGTAAATTAGTGTTTGTATTTTACTTTGAAAAAAGCTTCTGTGTGTGGTTTCTGAAGCTCCGTTGAACATTTATGCCAAGTTTGTGTGTCCTCAGAAAGAAATAGAGAGAGGTGCTTTTCCGACATTGTGTGTGTGTTGTCTTCTCTCAAGCTCATTGAGGCTGAAGGATCTGTCTGCCCCCTGATGAGAGGAACTGATCTTAGAAATAAAGAAAGACGGAGCATGATAGAGGGGGAGATGGGAGATGAAAAGAAGTGATAGACGGAGAAAGAGTGGTGGAGGAAGTGGACTGTTTATGATGCTACTGATTGAGAAGATACACAAGTGGAGGACGGGACATAAGTGTTGAGAGTTTTCTTGTGCATGTTTCAAAGGTCGGATCAGTCAGTGTCACTGCCTTTATGAATTTTGAACACCGCTTGAAAGTGAAGTGCCATTTGTTGGTGCTAGCTAGCGACACCAAACAGAGTGGCAAATGGCAAATGTGTTTCTTTGAGCAGCTTGACCGTTCTGATATGACAACACTGGGTCAACCAATGACTTGAAAATGATTCTGGACTGCTATTGATGCAGGAATTACAGTATGCAATTTTTTTAGAGGTTTATTAGTTGTACTTGATATTCTTCCCTACAAAGGCAAATGACCTTAACTCACCAGAGTGTGAAACTGAGAAAAAAATAGTTGTCATAATGACTCTATTTACCTACATTAAAAAAAAAAAAACAGCTCAAACTTTACCTATGAACTTTATTTGGAAGTTCTGCCTTTCGTAACATTTAATACTGGTGCAATTTGTGTGTTAAATGTTTGACTTCAAAATAATTTATATTGAATAATTCTTACTATTTTTTTGAAAATGTTCAATGACAAAAACAGATGAGATGAGATGAGATTTTTTTTCTTGTGGGAAAAAAGGACACTACAAGTGGATGTGCACATCATCAAAAACTGTGTGTGAGGGGGACCCTATACAGGTCCTTCTCAAAAAATTAGCATATTGTGATAAAGTTCTTTATTTTCCATAATGTAATGATAAAAATTAAACTTTCATATATTTTAGATTCATTGCACACCAACTGAAATATTTCAGGTCTTTTATTGCTTTAATACTGATGATTTTGGCATACAGCTCATGAAAACCCAAAATTCCTATCTCAAAAAATTAGCATATTTCATCCGACCAATAAAAGAAGTGTTTTTAATACAAAAAAGTCAACCTTCAAATAATTATGTTCAGTTATGCACTTGGGAATCCTTTTGCAGAAATGACTGCTTCAATGCGGCATGGCATGGAGGCAATCAGCTTGTGGCACTGCTGAGGTGCTTTGGAGGCCCAGGATGCTTCGATAGCGGCCTTAAATCTACTGATAGCTAGCTGCAGTGGCCCTGCCCTTGATAAAACACAGTGGACCAACATCAGCAGCTGACATGGCACCCCAGACCTCCACTGACTCTGGGTACTTGACACTGGACTTCAGGCATTTTGGCATTTCATTTCGAAAAAGAACTGTTTTGGGGCATTGAACAATTCAATGCGTTCCAGGCTCTGAAAGACACACTGTCTTCCCCCCTGTTCTGGCCGTCTATGATGCGAATAGAGACTGTAAAGTGTCAGTGAATGCTAGTCCTACGGACTGGGAGCTGTCCTACTGCAGAGGTGGCCAAAAGGTTGGAAGCCAATAACTTATGCATCAAGATCTCTTACTCAGAACGAGCAGAGATGCGCTCAAGTGGAAAAAGAAGCCTTGGGGCTCACATGGGCATGCAAATGATTCAAGGACTTTCTCATTGGCAAACATTTTGAATTGGAAACAGACCACAATCCATTACTGAGTCTCTTAGGATCACAAGTTCTGGATGTTCTCCCTCCTCATGTCCAGAGTTTCAGAATGCGACTGATGCGTTACTCCGAGTCCTACTCCATTGTTCATGTGCCAGGAAAGGATTTGTGGGTAGCTGACACTGTCACGTGCTCCGGTAAAACAATGTAAGCTACATGAGTTTTGGGAGGACACTAACATTTATATTGACTCTATCATGGGGAATTTGCCAGCAAGCACAACCTACCTGGGACAGCTGAGAGAAGATAAAGTGACAATGTATGTTCCAGTGTGATGAAACTGTGTGTTGAAGGGTGGACACAGCATTACAAGAGAGATCCAATACTGAAGCGTTACTGGGCAGAACAGGCTCTCTTAACTGTGCAGGACGACCTGTTAATGAGCGACACGAGGCTGGTCATTCCAACTGCAATGAGAAACGGTGTCCTTAGCAAGTTGCATGAGGGGCTTGTGAAATGCAGAGAGCGGGCAAGACAATCAGTATGGTGGTCAGGGTTAAGTAATCAGCTGAAGGGGATGGTGCTCAACTGCATGTCTTAAGGAGACCCAAAGAACTTCTCATGCCCACTCAATTTCCAGACAGACCCTGGCAAAGGTTTGGGGCTGATTTATTCATGCTGGGAACTAAAATGCACCTGCTTGAGTTGGATTACTATTCCAGATATGTGGAGATTGCTCAGTTATCACCCGGCAGGTCTACTGATACCATTGTCCACATGAAGTCCATATCCGAACGTCATGGAGTTCCAGAAACGCTAACGACAGACAATGGGCCACAATTCTCTGGGCACTCATTTTCATCCTTTGCTGCTTTGTATGGATTTGTCCACATTACTACAGTAGCAGCCCAAAGTTTCACCTGAGCAATGGAGAGGCTGAATGTGCGTTCAAGACAATAAAGGCTCTTTTCAAGAAAGCTAAAGACCCATACCTTGCTCTCCTAGAATATTAAGCTACTCCTTTGCAGAATGGGTACAGCCAAGCTCAGCTTCTTATGGGAAGAAGGCTTCGAACAACTGTGTCCACACTCTCATCATTGCGAGATCCCTGATACTGATGCAATTTTCATAAAAGAGAAGGAAAGAAAGAGTGCGGATGCAGAGCGCTTCAATAAACATCACAGAGCTGGAAAACTCAGCACAGGAACGATTGTTGCCAGTCACTTTGCTCCACGGTGTTACCTTGTGATTACGCAGCATGGGACTGTGAGACGTAACCGCCACCATCTGGTACCTATGCAAGCATCAGCTAAGGATGATAAAATGGCACACAAGATCAGTCCCCAGATACATTCTCTGAGACACACCCTGTCACTCAGGAATCAGAGGAGCAGGACATTCCTGATTTGGTGTCTACACCTAGAATTAGGCTAGGTGTGGGAGACGGGTCGTGAAACCTGTAAGGTTGGTAATGTTTTCTTCTCACCAGGGAAGGTGTGTCGTGAGGCGTCCCCAATTGGCTTGCATTATTTTCTATCAGGAAGTGGACTGTCAGATTGGCAGGCAGCTTTTTGAGTGAACTAACCCTTTAATGTGGTCTATTGGGTTTAAGTTGGTTAAATGACTAATGGGTTTAAGTCGGCTAAATCAACCTGTACGTCACCAGAGAGAAATCTGTCGTTTTAGTCATGACATTGATTTAAAAATTACAAGCTCAGTAAAAAAAAGAAATGTATGGATAATTCATAAGATGCATTTAGAAAGTAGAATTTCCATGCCAACTTCAGTCAGACTACAGTTTTCTTCACTGTTGTGCGCATGCTGTGAAAGACACGCAATGTGTATTTATCCTTCAAATATTCGATTCAATGCATTGTCATGTATACTTGAATTAAATAGACAGATGCAGTTCGACTATGCAACAAGCTGATTTTTAACTGCACATGTAAACCTACTGAATTGAGGCTCAGAGGTCTGTGTGACAAATGTGTGTGTAAACGTTGGCACACCTTGTATCTCCTCATTCCAAAGGAAGTAGTGGAAGTCTGCTGAGTTTTCCAGTTTTCCTGTATCTGTGTGTATGGGTCTCCAAGGTAATTAAAGGATTTTCAGTTACAATAGATATTATCAAGCAATTGTAAATGAAGCATTTAGAGTCTGCTCTGAGATAAAGTTTAGCGAAACAGTCCAGATGGCCAACACTACAGGTTCAAATATTTTGTTAAAGTATGCTAACTGTTTTAAAGGATAATGACAACAAAACATAGACAAAAGTTCTGTGCAGCTGTGCGAATGTCTTGCCAAAAAATTAATAAAAAAACATCCAACGCTATGCAAAATCGAAAAGAGCAAATCACCGTACAGATCCATTGAGCTTCATCACCTGTGCTTGAATAGTTTTTATGTATATTGATGTACACAACATTGTTGCAGCGCTGCTACGATGACTGACAGTAGCATAAAACAATGAAAGCCATTTTGTACAGGGCTGTTTTCCAAACGGGCCTTCAACATTTCTTTCTCTTTCCACATCTGTAGGTGGGTGATAAGGTTCTGGTTCTGAATCGTAGTGGCCTGTGGCAGGAAGTTGTTGTGGTGGCGACCACACACACCTTCCTGATGCCCGAGGGCATGAGCTTTGAGGAGGCGGCGGCACTTCCTGTCAATTACATCACCGCCTACATGATGCTGTTCGACTTTGGGCACCTGCGTCCCAACCAGAGCATACTCGTCCATATGGCCGCAGGTAAGTGAAAGTGTGTGTGCGGAGATTATGCAAATGTATTACTGCTTTATAACAGGGATTACATGCAACCTAATACAGTGATATGTTCGTGAGCCACAACAACAATAGATTTATCCATAATGTGCAGATGTGCGTAAGTGTTTGTGTATATGGCTCCTGCAGCTGGCCAAAATGGAGCCCTGGGGCTTTTGACGCTGGCAAGGGAGTACAGCAGTGGTTTACATTTACTTACGCACTCTCATCATTCATGTGAGTGGATCGGAGAGTCCCTTGTGTTAATTAACTATTTCCTTCCTAAGGGATTTTCACTTTATGTGCAGGTGTACGTATGTGCGGGGGTGTGTGTTGGGAATCTGTGCTCTCTAAATAATGACCTTTGGGAGACACTAAGTGCAGGTTTGAATAGTTTATTTGTTCTCAGAGAATATTCCTCTAGGTGTCAAACAAATCTCTTAACGCTAAATTCATTCGAGCGAGTTCCTTAGCAGCCGTTTAGTTTATAAATGTTTAAAGACTATTCTGTGGTTGTATTGGAAAACACTTACCGATTTTGGGATGATAGTTATTTGGTTGAACTGTGGTTACACAGTAGTTCATTATGTAACATTTCAAGTGATTACCTTAATTCTAGTTAGAACAGAACAGCGTATATCTGTGTGCGCTTGTGAGAATGTGCACATATGGATAATTCTGTCACAATTCACTGTCGGATCCCGATGTGCGATGTTGCGGTGTTAGTTTTTAAGTGCGCATTTTAATATACGAGTATTTTATATTTTATGTATTTTTTTGATAGATTCAGTGTTTTGTGAACATAAGTGATAAAAAAAATCTATTTTAGGCTAATGAAGATATTTTTGTGGTATAAATATAAAACGAATCACTGTTTTACTTTTGATCATTTACGCAACTTTTACAGAAGACCGTATTCTCGAAATGTTTCGACTCTCAATGCTCGATATTTGTTTTATTTTTTATTTTTTAATGGGTTCTTTTTTTTACACGTTGTTTTCAAGGCTTCTGTATAAATTAAATTGCAGCAAACGAAAGAAAATCAAACCACAAAAGGGAAGAAAAGACTAGCGCAATGTCCGTTTCATGCCAACATTAACGTTAGTTGCAGATTCATTGGATCATGGAGTTTTTTTTTTTTTTTTTCTGAGATTGGCCATATTGCCTCTCCGTTATTTAGAATTTCATTGTAAACTTTTAATGTTTTGTGATATAGAAACAAAATTTGGTAATCATCATTGACACCATGTTCTGAGCGCATCTGAGCAATTCATACACAACATCACCTATTGTTCAGTTTCATTACTCCTTCAACAAAAATTTTACAAATCTATTTTTTTTTTTTCCTGTAGCAGCGGTAAGCAACATAATTTTCTCTTTCTAATTGTCTTTGCCAATTGACAACTTTTTTGCAATATACATCATTCAGTTTTTGTCACTGTATTTCTTACTAGATTAATGTGTTTGTGAAATTGTGAAAATTCATTTTATAAAAAGTATTCTGCCTCCTGAACCCTGGAGCCCTGACGTCAGTATTCAGAAAGCCTTTTTTCTTCTTTAAAAAAAAAGGTTAAAATTTTAAAGTGATTATATAGCCCTTGTTTCCTTTTTGCATTTGTTTCTGTGCGCTTGTGAGGAAATGTTTTACACTTGTTAATGCAACGTTTGAGAAATTGAATTTGAGCAAATCATACATAAGTTTTAGCATTCGCTTCAATGGGATAATTTACGCAAGAATGGATTTACGAATGATTACACAGGAATCTATTCTCCTTGTTTTTCATGAATGAGGCCCAATGAACGGACTGAAATATTCTCATATTCCTTCTCTGGGGTCTGATACAGTATGTTTCTGATATCCCCTGTTGCTCTGAATGCTGGTGGACGTATGCATCAGTGTGGGTGTGGATGAAGCTTTGGCTCGGGGTGGAAGGAAACGCTCTCGTCCAACTGGAGTGTTGCAAAAACCAGGAATCTCAAACAATCTCGAAAGCGTCTCCTTAAACCACCACCACACCCTAACAGCGAAAGAGGGAATGTTTTAAGACAAAACTTGGTAGTGGTCATAAATATTTGCAGAGAAATCAAACCAAAACACCCATAAAAAATAAATATCTGGTCTGTCATCTCTGGAGGTGGCGTCAGTCACAGATGAATAGTCTGTAGTCATGTAGCACATCATGTTTCTCTTAATTATTACCATCTTTCTTTCTTTCAGCTTGTGTTTTTTTTTGTTCTTGAGATTGTTTGTGTGTGTGTATGAATGCTTGAGTGTGTGTGTGCTCTCAGGAAACCCTTGCTATCTCAGTGAACAGGATGTTTTTTAAATTTGCTGTAAAACTGGAAATGTGTTTCCTCTTGAGTTTCAGTATGAGAATGGCACTGCACCTTCCTATGGAGCATGATGTGCATTTCAAGCAAATATTGATGTGTTTTCTTGAAAGGAAAAATGAAAATAGATATTAGTGGCTCACCCTTATGTTGGTCTTAACCCATATAACATTTGATGCCTGTCACTCTGAAGCTGTCAGGCTTCAAAAAGTGTGCAGACTAGAGGCAACATAAAAATATCCCATCACAAACAGACTAAATGCAGGCCTATGGGGTCCAAAACATTTTGCGATCAGATCAGTCAAAGGTAGTTGAAGGCTCATGTGACACAACACATTTGTAGTGTAAATGCTAATCCGCCCTGATGCTTCCCGCACAACTGTGAAGAACCGCCCATTTGTTATTATAGTTTGTTGTATCTGGAGAACCTTAAAGGAAAGACGTGAATCTCAATGGGTGCCACGTTTGTAAAATAAAACAAACATTACACTCGCACCAAAAACAGCATTCCATGATTACAACATCCTGCAAGAGCAGTCACCCTCAGCTATGATATATAACACCGATTAAGATGTTAAGAGTCCATATCTCCTGTTTAAAAGATTAAAAGAAGATCTTTAAAAGATTAGTTCATACAAAAAAGAATTTATTCACCCTCATTTCATGTGAAACTATAAATTCTGTTTCTTTTTTGGAAAAAAGAGGTTTTAAAGAATTTTCTATTGCTTTTTGTGAGGAAAAGACAAAATTTGCAGTGTTTTAGTATTTATTAACAATTTTAATTGGATGTTGTTTTAGTAATTTTGTTATGTGCGTTTGTCATTTTTTTTTTTTTTTAAATAATTTTTTTTCTTAATTTTTTTATATTAGTTTCAGTGTTAGTCATTTTAGTACTTGAACTGCAATGATGTATTGCAGTTACGTTGTCTCCGGGTTTGGGCTGTGTGCGTTCATGCGTTTAGGAGGCGTGGCTTTGGACGGTGATTTGCAGGATGGGACCAACCGGCAACATTCTAATCTGAAAAATGAAGCCTACCCAGAAGTGCGAAAAACTTCAATACATATAAAATACGCTAGAGAGAGGTCCCAAAAGGGAGCAAATTTCCATAGACCCCATGTTAAAATGTCCGTTTTCACAGCATAAATTCATGCTTTTATTTAGCTATAAAATGTATGACAAATAAAGGCGGTTAACTTTGATTGACAGCTGATAACAGGCTGCGTCGAGTGAACTTGACGTCTCGGCCATGATCTGACACAACACATCATACCACCTCTGTATCCTTTCTGAACATTTGTATTTTATATTTCCCAAGATTTTTCAAGATGGCACCGCCCATACCGCCCATAAACAGCCTCAAAACTGTTCTTCAGAATGTCAATGGGTGACGTCACAGACGTCCATATTTTTTACAATCTATGGATGGGAGGTACACGTTTAGTGCTATCAGACTAAAGTTAGCATTTTCTCAGGTGTCCTACTGCACCTTTAAAAGGCACATAACACTTAGGGTGCTTCTCAATATCCCTCCTCGTCTCCTCGCTCCTCCGTCCTCCCTCCTATGACCCGGAAACCGATCGAGCTCAGCCATCTTGAAGGACATCTCAATTCTCTAATTGCACCGTGAGGAGTCGAGGATCGAGGAGCAAGGATACACAGGTGCATCCTACGCCGAACTGTTATATTGACTAAACGTGACGCACGTGTCAATTCTCCTCCCCCTTCACATCGGTCACAATCATTTTAATTTATACTTTACCTTTGCAGTTTATATAAACCACGCATCTCAGATATTACATAAGGGCAGATCCTTTTAGCGCTGCTGATGGCACTGTGGAGTGACGCTCGAGTGATCAAGTATTCCAATGTATATAAAAAAGCTTTTATTCGATTCCTCTGTCCTCCTTTCCTTTCCTCGCTTCCTTCCCTCACGTCCTACAGGGGGTGGAGCTGAGACGCAAGGAAAGGAAGCAAGGAAAGGAAACGAGGATGCACAAATAAGAAATGAGAAGCACCCTTAGTTTCTGCCAATGTGAACCTTAAGTATCTATATAGAGTAGCATTGCATCCTTCATATCTTTGAAGTCTTTAGTTTGATAAGATTTATAAAAGACAGATAGGTTGTATCTGTCTTTTATAAATTCCGATTCTTTCCGAAAACAGCCAGAGGCTCCTGGAGGCTTGCTGTGGGCGGAGCTTAAAAGTCATGCAATACGTCATCGCATTATCTCTGGTTAACTAAATGGTTTGTGTTGTTTACATTATATGCACAATGGCCAACAAATCACAGACATTTGACATTTTTTTGACATCACAGTCAAAAAAATGTCATGAGATGGAATTCCGCCCGCAATTCCATCTCATGACCGGGATCTTTTACCGCTGGGACCGCTCCATCTTTTAGTCTCAAATTATCTGCAAATCCAGCGTCGAACTGGGCCTTGTGATGACAAAATTCATCACAGAAATCCCGGAAACAAACTAACACACTTGTACAACTCCGTTGCTGCCCTTGAAATACTGCATCCACTGTTCCCCTAACGCTGGGTTCTTTGGGAAGCTGAACAAGGTTATCTTTCCGTCACAACCGAAAACACACTGATTTCGTGGTTTAAAAACAAAACGACAGCGCTGCTGAGGGCTTTCAAAACCCGAGCGAAGCACGTTGATGGGCGTGGTCTTGCTCTCGCTCTGGATGTTGTATGCATGCTCTACCAGAAGTTCCCATACAAGGAATTCCACCCTTTATGACTTCATAAAGGGCCATACTCTGAAAAAAACTTATACGAATCCTGAAGGAAAGTATTTGGCACAGAACTACTCCGTCATACATCCATCCAGCATGAGAATCTAACTCTTTAACATTGTAAATAAGTCAGAATGTATGAAATGGCATTAGACATTCCCTTTAAATGTGATGTAGTAGCCTACACTTATTGAATAAACCGCCAGAACAAATCCGAGCAGAGCACAGCCTCTTCATTGTGATTACCCCTCATGCCAAATACGAGCATTATCGGTCTGATTGGTGTGACTCACTTGAATTCGATTGACCAGTCACTAGCCGTTTCATTTAGTTTTCTCGAACTTTTCTCTGATTTGTGATCCGTTTGAAAGAATTCAAGAACAAGAAGCTGTTTAAAAATTAGCTCAAATTTGTAACCTCCGCTTTGAATCCTGTCAAAAAACTCGCAGTGAAACAAATCCCGCTCTCTCTCTCTGTCCTCTATTTGCACTAAGGGTGTGGGCTGAGTTCTCGTATGTTGGGAATCTGCAGAATTCCTCTGCGTTTTGGGGGAAAATTCCCTCTCGCTAGAGGAGGGTGATGCTGGGAGGGTAATATTGTTGTGGCCGAGATTGTTGGCTGCCAAGATTGTGTGTGTGTATGAATGTGTGGATAGAGGGAAATATAAAGAGTTCACTGTGTGTGTTTCCCCCTCGTACGCCCTTGTGTAAAACAGCCTGATTAGATGAACATTCTGCTTAATTTTCTTAAACAGATTCTCCTGTTTAATTCCATTGGTTGCACTCAAGATTGTGTGGAATTTTATTTGTGTAGCTACAGATTGTTGTGGTTTTTTTTTTTTTGCTTTTTCTAAATCCCTCACTCTTACAAATTATGAGTCATTTTGATCAGTGCATATACTGTATATATACAGTATTTTATTCAGAAACACTTTGTATGGATTACTTTTGAATCACGGTATTGCCAAAGCAGCCAGACCTTTGGCTATAAATGACATATGGTCTGGTCCACACTGCTTATTCTGGCCAAGAACTGCTCACTTGGACAGAAAAAGACCTTCTGAAGTGACCAACTACACTTTTGGTTTTCCCTGCTGTTAGAGGCGGGTTATCTTGAATAAACCACAATAAAAGACCAGTGTGGACTAAAGTATTTCAAATAAAGAGGCTCCCTTACCACTTTATTTTGTTTACCACAATTTCTACGGTAAATAGTTACTGTTGGAAAGGAATATTTTAGAAATAGAATTTCTGTTGTATTTTTCATTTTTAAGCTGCAATTATTTGATCAAAAATACAGTAAAACATTATTATTGTGAAGTAATGTAAATAAATAATACTGTGTTAAATTACAAGTTTTCTATTTTAATATATTTGAATTATCTTATTATAAATGTTAAAAAACGTGTGCCTAATATTTTTGTGGAAACCATTATACATTTGTTTCATGATTCTTTGAATAGAAAATTAAAAAGAACAGCACTTATTTGAAATATAAATCTTTTGTAGCATATACAAAACTGTCTTTACTGTCACTTTTGGTAGGTTTAATGCATCATTGCTGAATAAAAGTATACATTTCTTTTAAAACAAAATCTAAATAAAAATATAAGCATCTTGCTCTAGGTATTAGAGCTCCTTGGGTCTGAGGTGGTTTCCAAGCCACTCCTACCTATGCAAAGATTCACACAAAAGACTTAGCGAACACATGCGACTGAGTGAGGAGAATGAAGTGCACATATTTTCGGAGATTAGTAGATATGAGCACACATGAAAGAGGTTCATTTTGTGTACATTTCTGTGAGGTTAAGGGGATCTCTTTGGCATCTCTGCCGCAGGTCTTGTGATCGGAGCTCAGTGGTCATGGGGCGGCCTGGCACCGCAAACCCCGAGGTCTAGGGAAAAAAACGAGAGAGACAGCAGGTTAAAAAGCACGATGTGAAAGAGACGTGTGTTCTCATGCATTGTGAGGTCTCTGACACAGAAAATGGCGGCCCTGCTGCTTTCAGAGAAACCAACTCTTCGCGAGTCGCCATGGCAACACAAACTTCATTCACTACAGAGTGAATGAGAGGAAGAGAACCGTTTAATGAAGCGATGGAACAGAAGATACCGTATGAACATTACATGACCTTGAATCATTGTCAGTCCTCACTGAACTATTTCCGTAACATACAGCTAAACAAATCCACACGCACAGTAAATCAACTTTCACTGGATTCAAAGTAACATCATTAAGAGAAGTAAATATTCTCATTTCACACTTCAATTTGAATTTTTACACGAATTGAAGCGTTTACTGCATCAAGCTCAACCATTCAACTCTGCTATCAGTGTTATTGTAACAAAAAATAAGAGGACAATAAGTTAATCGAGAAATATAAATGATTTGGTCGCAAACAAGATAGACTGTACTGAGTTTAAGATTTATTTAGATGTATTTTGCAAGCCTGCTACAGTACTCTTTTTTTATATATTTGGTCTCTTTAGGCTATATTTTTACTGTTACTTATTCTGGCTTAAGTTTTTATTTTATTATATTTCAACGTACTTAAATATAAATATATTTTTCTTTTAAAACTAACTTTTATTAAAAGATTGTTAGGCTCTATTTTTATATTATATTTGTTTTAGTGTTTTTCTTTTTTCTTTCTTTTTTTTAATTTAGATTTTGTCTTCTCTAGGCTATTTTTTTTCGCATGCTGTTATTTACTTAAAATTAAAATTTTAACTTCTGAAAAAAGTTACTTACATTTTTTAGAATGTCAGGCACTGCAGTGTTTTATCCGGTTCATGAAAAGTGCTAGCTAAAGAAAAATGGTGTGTGTGTGTGTGTGTGTGATTTGCTAGTTCAGTTCCTCATAGTCTGAAGCCTAGATCATTTGATGATCACATTTTATGTGTATCACTATGTGCTCTCTATTAATTTTGTCATTAGATAAGCTTTACCCTTTAAAGGCTCATGCACTAGTGACCTTTTTAGACACTGCTCTGCCTCTCCCTTAGAAACACGCAGCAAGACACAGTTAAAATTGAGATGAAATGCTCACAGCCATGTCTGATGTAAGTGGAATCTTTGAGACATTAGAGTAGACCTAGGGCTGGGTATCGATTCCGATGTTCCAATTCGATTTGGAAGCTCTTTTCGATTTCTATTCTCGATTCGACTCAACGAATTTAGATTTAATACAAATCTTATATTTATAAAAAGAACAGTGAACATAAGTTTACAAGTGGTTATTGAAAAGAAATGAAGACCCACAAACTATTTGTATTTTAGGTACACCTAGGTACATTAAAACAAAACCCAACTCCTATATTTCAAATGCATACTGTATAAATAGACAGGATTTTGATGCAAGATGAAAAAAATCCAGTATAATGTAAAATAACTCTGGATAGTCTTTTAGTCCTGACTAAATTAAATAGGCCTACATAGGATATTTATCCTGATTCCGTACAATTAAAACTATCTTTTGTTGTTTTGATGACAAAATTAATGAGACGCGTATGGCTGCTGTCACTTTAATGCACAGATCCATTACTGTTATACTGTCTGCCACACTGTCACATGTGTTGATCACATGTATGATCGCATGTATGAGCACCAGCTGAACACTCACGCTGTTTGTGAAATTTCGTCTCGGAGAAAGTTTTAAAATTACTGATTTGATTTTATAATCTGTGTGGATTAATTTTAGTTAAGTTTTAGTTTCAGCTAAGTTGTTATTATGAAGCAATTTTTGAGTCATAATAAAGTCAGCTTGTAACCGGTTCTGGATACAGTGAATACCAGAGTCAGCTGTTTAAATTACGGTATCATCAGCATAAAGATGAACCTTACCGATGGAGTAAATGTGCGATAAATCGTTAATTAAAAGAGAACCTTGAGGAACCCCCTTATCAACCATTAAATACTTTGGTCATTATGATGATACAGAATATCCATGGTAGTAATGCGTTTCTAGTATCTCATTTTGAAGAAAATTTCTGAATATAAAAATACAGTTATCAGCTATATTACTTCTCGATTGTTGTTCAGTTGTTGTTCAAGGTTGCAAACCTCCACTGTGATTGGATGGCTGGGTAAAAAGTGACCGTGATGAGTGCCAAAGTTGATGAGTAAAAAAACAACAACAACAAAAAAAAAAAACTGGGCAAATCAGCCCATAAAATATTATTATATGGTACATGCATCAAAAGTGCATCAAAATGCAAGGTCATCAGTTTGCCTAAATTAGAACACAGTTGGTAAAAGGTGCAGGTGTAAATGTCTGTCGTACCAACTAACATTTTCAAAATAGAGATATTTTCGTGAATCTGAAAATTACTGTCAGAATGGCCTTCCGAACGATTTAGACAATTTGTTCTGCTTGTGTTTCTGTACCCAAGTAAACAGTTTTCGTACAAACTTTCGTGAAGTTAAAAAACTTAAATCTTTCACTATAAACCACCACATTTAAACATTCCACTTTAGTTGTTAATGACTTTGACCCATTTTTCTTAATTTTTATAATTTTATAATGCGTTTTTACTCATTTATAATGCATTTTTCTTCTTCTGGAGAAACAAGAATTAATCAGACAGAAACTCAGTTATCTGTCCTTGAAACCACAAGTTAAACGGGCGTAATGGGATTGCTACAATGGCCTGAATGTTTGTACATGTGTGGGTGGCTGTTCATCTTTAAGGTCAAATGGCTGCATTGAGTTTTGTCCTCTTGTACCCTTGCTTACATGGTTCTGCTTTTGTTTTGAGATGGAAAATGCTGAAAATACTTTGTTGAGAGAGTTCTTGTTTTGTTCCCTCTCAAGGTGGAGTAGGCATCGCTGCCACTCAATTGTGTAAAACGGTGAACGATGTCACAGTATTTGGCACCGCCTCAGCCAGCAAACACGAGGTCATCAGCCAGGGTGGAGTCACACACCCCATCGACTACCGGACACGTGATTACGTAGAGGAGATCCGTAAAATAAGCCCCAAAGGTAAGCACAGACACCGCAAACCAGCTTTCCACTACCATGCAAAAGTTTGGGGACACATTAAATTGATTGAAAGTAAAGACATTTATAAAGTTACAAAAGATTTCTATTTTAAATAAATGCTGATCTTTAGAACTTTGTGCAAATAGCCTAGTAAATATACTTCAATTGAAGACAGAATGGACAGCCTATGAAGTCTCCTTTAAGAAGTCAATAATATATTTTTCTGCTTTGAATTGCTGTAAGGGACCTTTTTTGTATATTAACCTTGGAGTCCATCTGTCTATTCTGCCTTCCACATTTGTGTTTTTGGTTGTGTATCTGATGTGTATATTGAGGTTTTGTGTATATTTAGTCAGGTGTAACTCCTAACACGCAGTCTGATAAAATGTTGTTTACTCTTTTATCTTATCAAAGAAATGGACAAAACAAATTCCTTTCTTTTTGTTTAATTCTTTCCCAGATGAACATTTTATTTGATGTACTCCTTTGACCATAGCAATCTTAGAAATTTAGAAACATCACATTGATGACATTCCACTCCGGTCAAGATTAGAGCAATGTTAACCCATAAAATAACTGTTTTCATGTCCAGACTGATATGCTCAAATTGAACTGCTAAGATAAGGCACTATACACAGCATATACACAGCACTTCAATACACTTCAATATTTGAAATACACTTTAAAAAACAAAGACTTGGACAAGATACAATGTAGAAAGTACTTTTTTGAGAGTGTCGTTCTTTAGCTGTTATACCATTGGCATGGTAAAACATTGTCAACATGCGTTGCTAAAAATATCTAAATAACGAAATATTTATAGGATTATTAATAGAAATACTAAAAACAGTGAGTATTGATATTGAAAGCAGTTGTGCTGCTTGAAATGTTTGTAGAAACACAAACCAGTTTTATCAGGATTCTTTGAGAGGGTTCAAAAGAACAGCTTTTATTTAAAACAGAAATTTTTAGTAACAATGGAAAAGTCTTTACTGTGACTTATGACAAATTTAATGCATCCTTGCTTTACAAAAGTATTAATTTCTTTTCAAAAATTGTATTGACCCCAAACTTTTTTTTAACAGAAGTGTATATTTTTGCTACATGATGTATATCTTGTTAATGACTGCTAATTAACATTTAATTTACACAATTTTCTGTCACAATTCACACAAAAATGTGTAAACTGAACACATGCACTCTGAATTTGACATATACAGTAGATAGATACAGTATTTATAAATATGCTAAATGGAGCTAAATTCAGCATCTGTCTTTCTGCCTGTGTTTCAGGGCTGGATATTGTTCTGGATCCTCTGGGAGGCTCTGACACCCATAAGGGCTACAACCTACTGAAGCCAATGGGGAAGCTCATCAGCTACGGTGAGCCACGAGGGACACTCTGAATATCAGCTTGCATACATTCCAAGTTTATTATTTCGACCAAATACTACAGTTAAAATAATGTCTAATCTGAGGTTTTACTGGTTAAGTTGAACAAACCACAGTAGACACGTCTGAATGGCTTAACAGATAACAGAATGGAACAGATAGTGTTAATCTTTTTTACTATTTGGGCCTTGATTAAAAGCAAGTTTAATCAATACTCATCCAATCAAAAAATAACACCAGAAAAATGTAGCATTTTTCTTTTATTGGCTGAAAGTAACAGTGTGGCGTGTTATACACTCACGAGATGCTTCAGTCTGTAGCGGAAAAGCAGAGGCTGAAAATTACACAGGCAAAAATATCTATGTATCTTCATATTTTCTTGTAAATATAAATATAGATTTTTATAGTTCTGACTGATTTTAAAAGTGTAATTTAAGTGACAAAAAAGTTTAAAGGTTAAAATTAAGTGACAGCCACTTAAATGGGTCAAACATTGATCAGTTGAAATACACTAGAAAAAACCTGCTCATTAGGCATACATTTATTGCATGAATGGAGCAGGAACATAATGTAAGTGTATGAATGCAAACGCACATACCTAGCTTATCGAAATACAGGCTGATGGTCGACCTGATTGGCATTGCTGCCTGACACTCCTCCACCGGTGCCTTTTGTGCAGGTGTGCTCCACCTCTTTGTGCATAAACAGGTCATCGGCTGGGGACCACCAGTCATGGGTGTTTTGCTCCTTTAACCCCAATACATCTCCTGGTGGTGGAATGATGGCAGGGATAATTTTTTTTCTCTGGCCCTTGCAAACAGAATGGGACTTCTCGTTGGTATGGATGGCTACTATTAGCCTCATATGTACATGCCCCTTCTGCTAGCTTCCTCGAGACCAGGTTGTGTCGCCACCTATAGCGGCCTTGGGACAATGCTGTCTTGCAACCTGACAGGATGTGCTGAATGTGCTTGCATTGCTGGTACTGCAAAAGGGGCAACGTTCTTCTGTGCCGAACCACTGCTGGAGATTTCTGGGACAAGGTAGGGTGTCATAGGTGGATCTAATCAGGAAGCTGAGCCTGGCTTGGGTGATCTTCCACAGATCAGACCATGACCAATGCCTGTCTGTGACACCTTCCCATGACATTTAGCCTCCCTGCTGGCTCCGAGACACCGCCTTGATGTTAAGGTGCTCCTGCTCTGCCCTTGTCACTTCTGCCACCACCATGGCTCTCCGCTCTTCATTGAAGGCCTTTGACCAGAGGTGAAGAGTCTTGCTTCTCCCAAGGCCCGCTCGACCCTCCTGGACTCTGCTCTTGCCATGTCGACCTCTTCCGGGGCTGTGCACTTCCTCCCTGTTTGTATCTCAGGGTCATTGGATTCCCTCAGCTCCAGCACCACCTGAGTCTTGTTCTGCTTGTATCCCAGGCCAATGGATCGCAATGGCATTGTGTTCCTGCTGAAGAGGCCTACCTCTGATAGGCATCTTGGTAGATCCAGCCACTTCCTGATGAATGAGTTTGGTAGCCTATACATCTTGTTTGCCACGAGGAGGGAACTTCGCTCTTCTTCAAAGGCCACATCACCCTTGGGTACAGTATGAACTGGTAGCTCCATACTTTACACTTGCCAGAGAGTTGGCTCTCATTGATCCTTGCTTCCTCACTGTTCCCCCCATCTGCCTATCAGAGAGGTCTGCTGTGTAAGTCTGCTGTCCACAAGTTCTTCAATCCTCTTCAGCAGTCTTGTACATGCTGCTGTCTGGAGAATGGTGGTAATGTCATCCATATAGCCTCTCACTGGTGGCAGCCTTTGGACTAAAGGTAGCTTCTTACCTCCAACCATCACCATTGCCCCCATCAGGATGACCTCGAAGGCTGCTACAAACAGGATGGGAGAGATCGAGCATCCCATGGCAATGCTCACTTCCAGCTGTTACTAGCCTGTCATGAAGTCCTGATGGGTGCAACACATCTTGATGTCCTCAAAGTACTTGGCCACCAGGGCATGAATGCAGACTGGGATGTAGAAAAACTTTGAGTTGGTGGGGGACGGACCCATATGCATTGGCAAGATCCAGCCATACCACATGCAGGTCACCTCTCTCTTTTTGCTCTCTGGATCTGCTCCCATATGGCTGCAGAGTGTTCCACGCACCCTGGGAAGCCTGGCACGCCTGCCTTCTGGCAGCTAGTGTCAATGTACCCATTGCTTATGAGGTAGGTGGTCAACCTCTTGGCCAGTATGGAGAAGAAAATCTTGCTTTGATTTCTGCTCCTAAACTGTTCTTCCAGGCCACACTCAGGAGCTTCCACAGGTGTCTCTGGACCCCAGGGCAGTACTTGCAATATACAGCTTATAATATAGACTAAAATATCCACAAGTTTCTTACGCCCCATGAGGCCTTGCGTCAAAAGTGGGCGTGTCTTCCGGTTCGAAGTAAACAAAGCTCGACTTGACATACTTCACACTCGTTCATTCAACAGTTGACAGTCATTCAAGTTATAGCGATCCAAACTAGCTAACGGTGTGGGAACACAACCTCAACGAAATTAAAAAGGGTGAAATAACAGTACCTTTACCCATTATTAATAATCAATACTCATCAAGGCATGGTGACAGACAGTTGTGCGAGCTGACAAACAATTAAAATAAAAAATACACACTTGGTCATTGTGCTTTGGAGTTTATTCAAAATTATAAATGAATGTGCTACTTGAATACATTAACTGGCAAATTTGGTATTCTGTCAACTCAGGCTTTGATCCTGAGTTTAGGTGTAACATCAGTAGTGAACAGCCAAACACATGCTGATAGAGTTTATAGAATATTAAGAATTTAAACAAATGTACACAGGAAGATTCGTTGTCTTTTTTTGGAGGTGATGGAAACTGCAGTCGTTGGCAGGATCACTCTTATTTCGTTTTCGGCTTATGTTCAAAACAATCATTTTTAAGCCACTGAATTAGTTTAGTCCAGTTATACATACAACCGCGAACAGCACATGTTGTCCCTGAGCTCCGTAACGACATCTCTCATAAAGATTTGCGTCTTTAAATGGTAAAATAATTCTCCAAAAAACAGCTAGCCTCTTCGCTAACTAACACACAAAATACCATTGGAATGCTACTTCCGCCGCCTTACCGGAAGTTTCACCCACTTTATTTTTTACAGGAGCGCCCCTCGGAAACTTGTGGATAGACTAAACGCATAATACGCATGTGCACACTGTCAAAACTTCCTATTATCACTGTAAACTGCTTTGAAACTATCTATATTGTTAAAAGTGCTATATAAATAAAGGTAACTTGACTGGACAGTAGAAAAGTGAAAATGGTAGCATTTTATTCTAAAATTATTTATTTAAAAGAAGATAAATACTCTCATAGCTGCCAAGAACCAGGCCTGCTTGACAGTGACATATTACAGTAAATCAACTTCAGAAACACAATACCTGGAACAAGACCCCTTAAACAACATGGCGCCCTGTAGTCCCACCCAACTGTTTTTGTCCCTCCGTCTCTTTTTCTCACTCACTCTCTTCCTCCTATCCTGCCTGATCAGAACAATGGGTCCTCTATCTGACACAGAACCCAGAATGTGTCCGAATGTAACAGACTGGGTCAGGTCCAAATCACAGGCCAACTCAGAGCTCGCTTTTGTCAATGTGTGTGAGAAAGAGAGACAAACGGAGAGAGTTGTCATTGTTTTGTGTACATTTCCCCTTCTCTAATAGTACTATAGAGTGTAATTTACTCTATCCTGTGTCTTCCCAATATGTGGCTTTCTTATCTTATTTCATGCTAATAAGCCACCTTTGAAGTGAACAGAAAGAGTGATGGTTAGACTGTTGACGACATATACAAAATGAAGAGGAAAATTGTGTGGAGAGACACTGAAGAAGGAGAAAACAAGTGAGGGAGTGACAGACATGGGAAGCGATGCGAGAGGATGTGCGAACAGTGAGCGAATGAAGACGGGTCAAAGAGTGCAGTGTTGGAAAAGAGAGTGAGAAGGAGGGCTAGAGAGGCATGTCATTCCTCTGTAAATGAAGAACGCTCACTGTGGGAGCCATTAAGCAGTAATTCACCCATCGGTCAACCACACACACATTTTACATGCAGAAAACTCACACAAATACTTATTCATGCACGGGGAACATGCTTGCAGTTCAAACGCCTTGCACGTGCAAAGACATTTCTACATGTTAGGAGATAGGGGGTGGTATGATGGTAGTAATATATTTACTGGGAGAGATTTTGTGAAACAGTTTATAACTGTTTTACATTATTTTTTGTTTTATACTTTTGCGAGAAACATTTGTAATGAATAATATTATCATTTGTCTCAGTTCAAAAGTAGAGATAATATATATTTTCGTATTTATTTTACCAATGTATGCATTACAGGTGTTGATGCTATTTTTATATATAAAATCATTATCCATTTATTGTCCAGCTAAAAAAAAGTACACTACCATTATAAAGTTTGGGGCCTGTAAGATTGTGTTTTTTTGAAAGTCTCTTCTGCTCACGAAGGCTGCATTTAAAAACCCATTTTTTTTTAAAAATATTTTGATACAGAGTGTTGTCAAAACCCATCCCCTAAATCATAGTAATATTTTGCCAAAATCAAGTACCTGAAAAATGAAAATGGACTCAAAACCATGATCAGAATGGATTGATGCATATCTATGTTTTCTATGTCAATCTGATGTTTGTGTTTGGACCTGGCAGGTGCCGCTAACATGTTGGCGGGCCAGAAGAAGAACCTGTTTGCAGTGGCTAAGACCTGGTACCAGCAGTTCTCCGTTCACACCCTGAGTCTGATCCAAGGGAACCGCTCGGTCTGTGGGTTTCACCTGGGCTACCTGGACTCTGAGAGTGAGCTCATTGCTCAGGCCATGGCAGTCATTATGGACCTGTACAAACAGGGCAAGATCAAGCCCCGAATTGACTCCACCTACCACCTGGAGCAGGTGAATGAATGAATGAGTCTGATGGGGGTCATTTGAACTGTGTGTTCTGAGTTTGTTGGGGAAAAAAATTACTCGTTTGGGAGTGTATTTATGGCAGGATGTTGGAGTCCATTGAGATTCCACCTTGAGCAGATCTTTCCCTATTATTTCTCCTCCTTTCTTATCTCCCCTGTTGCTATGGAGACACCTCTTCCTGGTTACAGTAAGCAACTGCGAATGCGAGCTGATGCTTTTTTGACGAGCTGGGCTTTTATCAGCCTCATCAGACTTTGGTGTTATAGAAAATAACAATAAAAAAATAAAGTGCTTTCACATTCAAGTGAAAGACATATTTCAACAAGATTTCAGTTCATGGGTGAGAGAAGCGCTGTTTTAAGTGCTCCATGTTTGTTGGTAACTCATTCTCCCTGTCCTTCACTCTCATTTCCTGTCTCATTCTCTTTCCTCCAATCTGTCCGAGTCAATCGTCAGGGCCAGGTTGCATTTCCTAGTTGCTAGGAGATGGCTCGCTGTTGCTGTGTCGCTGGTTGTTAGGTAGAGTGGTAAAGGAGAGGTGACCTGGAGGAAAAACAGACAAGGAGGCTCGTAAACTGACCAGAGAATAGCTGATGTACATTGATCAATACTCGTAGAAGAAAAGTAATTAATTTTCGGTTGTACTTTATCAACGTTTTTGTAACTAGTGATAGACCGATATATTGTCTGTTATTATATATATATATATATATATATATATGTGTATAATATGTGTATATATATATATATATGTGTGTATATATGAAGAGTTCAGATGCAAAAGCCTCTAAGTGCCATTTGAAATTTTCTTCTATAATGATAATTTTATATCAAGCTTGTATACTTAAGTTCAGTGATTTCACTTAAATTGCAATGATAATTACCTATTAATTGTTATTTAAGTGAAATTACTGAACTTAAATATACAAGTTTGATAAAAATCATCATTAAAGAAGAAAATTTCAAATGGCATTTAGAGGCTTTTGCATCTGAACTCTTCATAAATATATGTGTGTGTGTGTGTGTGTATATATATATATATATATATATATATATATATATAAATACTCATGTATCCTAATAAAATGCATGTAATACTTTATAATTATAAAACTATTAATATAATTTAAAATGGTAAAAAAAAAATCATTATTATTAATTGTAATAATAAATAGTAAAATGCATGAATTTTATTAAATTAAATCTAAGTTTCAGTACTGGCCATTAAAAAACGATGCTGTCCGCTGATATTTGGCTATTTTCTGATACTGCTACAGAAACTATTTTCAAATTGTTTTTTTGTTTTTTTTGTGATTGCAGTGAAATGTAGTGAAATGTTCTCTTTTAGGACGAAAGTGCCAGAAAAGCAGTTGATAATGGTGTAAATCTAAAGGCTTGTGCCTTTAGGTCATCAGCCAACTTACTTGCTAGAGTAATAGAGTAAGCAACCAATACATTGAACTAGGGGTGGGGGGGAAAAATCGATTCTTAGATGCATCGCAATGCGGATGTGGACTATTCGGAATCGTTTCACAAATGTCAAAAATCGTTTTTCAAAAAAAATAAAAAAAATAATTATATATATATATAATATTTATAATAACATAATATTGACGGAACGCGAAAGGCGGAACTCTTAAGTGCAGAAGTGCAGTGCCCGGACCATCTGTGGCGTGCACATAACAGAGCTGAGTGCGAAATCCAAACACCCTCTCGTTAAAAGCTGACGTGGAGGGGGACAGGAACTGGTCAAGAGTCACACTAGGTGTAATCTTTGTAGAATAAAACTAAAATATTGCGGAAACACGACAAATATGAGAAGCCATGTGACACTTTTCCACCCAGAGGAGGAAAAACACTCGGCTGTACCGTCGTTGTTATATTACTAATTTACTACTAGTATGCTGCTAGTTCAGGCACACATTAATTTTCCTGTTGGTTCTTTGTAATGTTAATAAAATATAATGTATGTTAATTTTTTATGGGTCATTACTTGGGTCATTGTGACTGTAAATACATTGCTTTAAAAGTACAATGTATTTACAGTCACACACACACACAAAAGATTCAGATAATCAATAATCGCTTTAGCATCAAATCGCAGCTTTCTGAATCGTAATCGAGTCGAATCGTGAGATGCCTAGAGATTCCCACCCCTACATTGAACACATAAAATCTCATAAATGGTGTTTGTGTGCGCGTGAAGTTCAGTATTAGATCAACTGTCAACAGCTTGTTAGATATTCTTACCACAGCAGATGGCCATTCAAGCTGCTCTCTCTGCCGTTCCTCATCCACACCCTCACCAGTCTCTCTCTCTCTCTCTCTCAGGTCGGTGATGCCATGCGTAGGATGCAAGAGAGGCACAACATCGGTAAAATCATCCTCACCACCGAGCCCATGAAGGAAGAGGAGAAGAAAGAGGAGGCCAAGAAAGATGAGGAGAAGAAGAAAGACGACAAGAAAAAGGACGACAAGAAGAAAGACGACAAAAAGAAGGACGAGGCCAAGAAGGAGGAGAAAAAAGAGGAGAAGAAGAAGGACGAGACCAAGAAGGAAGAGACCAAGAAGGATGACAAGAAACCAGAAGAAAAGAAGGAAGAAGCCAAGAAAGAGGAGAACTGAGGGGAGAGAAACATTGTGGATGTGCTTTGTGTCTGTGTCAGCGGTTTGGGAGTGGTTTGAGTGTGCATGTGTGTGTGTGTCTGTGTGAATGGAGGGGTGTATAGTATAATTAGCTTAAGCCCAGGTGATTTTTAACATTAGATCAGATCTGCATTTCTGCAATCATTCAATCAGCAGAATTCACAGACCACTTACACACACACACACACACACACTGTACACCAAGGGAACACACCACTTTATTTTTCTGTTGTAACACGGTAGTATTTATTCACAGTTTTGCTGCATCCTTTCTAACTCTTTCTTATGACTGCACGCCACCGAGGTGTGTTAGGGCAGTATTATCCTTTTTATAAATCTCACCACAGTGTTTACTCAACCAATGTTTTTAATTATATAACAAATAACCTTATTCTGCACCCTTTAAAATTGTACTACCATATCCTCTAACAATATTCCTGGCAAACTAATGCACTATAAAATTCTTGTATTCCACCGAAATATTAGTTATCTTTTTAGACGCAAACCAAAAACAACCTTTTTCGCTCTCTACACCCCTCTGTGTGTTTGTGTATCCGCTGTGAAACTGGGTTTTCCGTTCTCTTTTCCTTTCTGTTCTGAAGTGGATGTGTTTGTTTGATTTGTCGTTCATCATCAATTGTGAAAGAACTTTTTTCCTGCCCACCTTGGCACACAAAACAAGAGCACCCACCTACACTCCCATTGTTTATGTCGTTTTGGACCAGACTCACTGACATACACTCAAGCTCCGCCCCCTGGAGGAGTCAGGGTGGTTTCTGATTGGCCGTGATTTGACAACAAGCCTCTTTCATGCACACGCATGTGTACTAAATTCTCAAACACATTGCCAACATTATCCCAAAAACTAACAAGGTTGTCCTAGGCTTCAGCTGTTCAATGTGCCATGTCATTAAAACGGGCAAGTGCCAGGCTTTTAATGAGTCTAGCTTGGCAAACAGGACCAATTATAGAGAACATTCTCCCAGCCCTTTTCCCCATCGTTTCCCTTGTATCAGATGTGGACGCATAAAGACAGGAGTGGCCTTTCATTCCAGAACCTCCTCCAGGATTCCTCAGGATCCTGACGCTTTCCGCCCCTCGTTCCCGTGACAGCTTACCACGTGATCTAGCTGACCTGCACCTCACATTTACATATGATCTCCACTCTGGCTCTTCCAACTATGCTTTCTCTCCCTGTTCTCTTACCCTTTTCGTCATGGTGGTTGGCATAGCAACAGCAGTTAGGCTAGTTAGAGATGACAGTTAGGTTTCACCCCCACATCCCAAACATACAACCACTCACATCTCCACAGCAGCTCTTTTTTTATATGATAAACTTCAGTGGTTTTATTTGAATGCATTTTGGGCTATGGCTCCACCCTCTCCCCTGTTACTCAGATAGCAGTAATCTACTGCCTCCGCTTGGGATTTATATGCACTGCAGTGCTATCATTCAAGTACTCAAGACACCTGCTGAACACTTTCTTTTCACACTACGAGTCTGGTTCATTTCATCGAGTGTTGTGATGTGTGTTGATGTATGTGAAACAAAACCCTATTTTATATATATATATGTGTGTGTGTGAGAGAGAGAGAGAGTATGGTATGTGCATTTCTGTATTTGAATGTCTGTCCTTAGGTTTGTTGTCGGATTTAGATTCAGATGTTCTTTCTTTCTTTGTCTCTCTACCTCCCTCATGCTACCGTCATTTTAACTGTCTCTTTCTCTCCTCCCGTCGGTTTCTAACTCTCACCATCACTCTTGAATATTTCGGCCCCCATGAACGGCCTGCATTGGTTTGCTATCGTTTGCACTCGGCTTGCACTTGTAGAGAATGGCAGTTCCACTCCTGATCCACCGTATCTGCTGGTCCCGTCCATGTCTTCACTTAGACCGTCTGTTTTTTCTTCCCTCATTCTCCCACCAACACACTCGCTCTTTATACACCTCTTAAACTGAGAAACAAGTGTTTGAACATGCATGGAGATGCTCAGAAGGCTGCATTGTTGGATGCATGCTCGTGTTTACATAATCACTATATGAGTGCAGATAACCGTTCAGGCCCAGAATGCACTGGGATGGGCTTGGAACTGCCATACTTGTCTGATGAGTTACCATGTTCTGACTTACTAAATCCCGATCCGGTTTTTAGTTCCGGGTCTGATGGGTTGACTGAGTTTCTTGTTGTGTTCCGCTGGTTCTCTTCCTGTGTTCCTGTGGATGGTGACTCAGAGCACCAAGTGACCCTAACTAACACTTCAGTGAAAAATATCCGTCCTCTGTATTTTGTTTGATTTATTTTGTATGTTTTTTTTTTTTTTTTGTGGTCTGCATTTTAGTTTAAGTTCAAAAGGCTTTGCTGCAGTTCCTCTAAAATGTGATGAATCATGTGATTTTGTTGGTCCTGACCGAGTGTGCCAAACTTTTTTGTGAAGGTGTGACCTTCGCTATAACTGTGCTTACTGTACTGAAGAAGAAGAAAAAAATAATGAAAGATGATTTAAAAAAAAAAAAAAAACTAAACTAAACGTCTGTGGTTATTGTCGAAATGACCTCGCAGTAAAAGATCTTGAGATTCTGAATTTGCTCCTGTCGTGTGTGGTCGACTACGCCCTGAATATTATTGGTGCTGACTGATTTCTGACTTATTTGTTTTCCGCTAACGTTTGAATCCATGCAAAACCTCTCGTTCTCACTGTGCCTCAGTCGTAGACCAACACCAGATTGCCTCCACGCATGTTTACACGTGAATGCACGTAGACTCTATTTCGTCCCCAACACCGTCTCAGCTCTGCTGTCCTGAAGGGCTGGAATATTCCCACTGACCTGAGACTCCTTCCAGATTAAGTGTACTGTTGTTTATAGATGCACTTTTTGTGTATCATGTGGGTGTTCATGGGTAACATTTGATAACCTATGACCTGAGGTAACCCAACAAAAAGATCCAGCAGCAGTCAGAACGATCTAATGATTAATGTCAGTGTAGTTTCCCAAGCTGTTGCTGGCTGTTGTTTTCGCTTTTTTGTTTCTCAATGTGATATTAAAGAGATAGTTCACCCAAAATTAAAATGATGTCATTAATTACTCACCCTCATATCATTCTTTGGAGCATAAAAGATGATATTTTGAGAAAAATGTTGGAATGGAAATCAATGATAACCGAAATGTAATGTTCTTCAAAGTACGACATGAGGGTGAGTAAAAAAAATGACAGAATTAAAATTTTTGGTTGAATTATTCTTTTAACATAATAGTCCCGTTCACAAGCAAATTCCCGCTGTTTTCATTCCCAGATGATCTAGCAGCGACATTCCGGTTCTGGAATTGATCTCGGCTGCTTATGACATCAGAGCGGCTGTTGATTCAGTTTCGTCCCTGGATCTGTCTGCGTTGGCTAACTGGGTCCGTTCAGAGACGTTCACAGCACACACACCCAACAACAATGACATCTGGGCTGGGAATGCTCGCTTTAAATCTCTCAAGGTCTGGATGATTTTTATAGGATGATGGTTTGGAGAATTATTCCTCTTCCTCCTTTTGGAGCGTGCACAGCTCCACAATGAGCTCAGCTGCAGGTGCGAGTGTCTCTCGTGGATCTGGAATTGTGCGACTGGGAGCCAGAGAGAGGCTCGGATCGAGCCAAGCTGCTTCCTTCCTCGGTCCTCTCACTCCAATAGTTTTCCCAGAACAGGAAACACCCCTCAGGTTTACAGAGTGCAGAATTCCTGCTACAAATGCAGCCTTAACCAGCGCTGAATCGTATCATGTCTAAACATTATTTACAATATTAGATACGCAAACGCAGTGCAGTTTTGGTGTGCCTACAGTCAAATGTATTGATTAATTTATGCATTTATAAAATCAATAATGAAATGAAGCTTTGAAACGCTTTTAGGTCTAAATTAATATAGCAGATGTATCTGCCTTCTCTTTGTCTGGCACATACAAGTAACAGTGAGTCATTGTGGACCGTTTCCCACACATGCTCAGCGTAACAGATCTATCTTTGTCTAAAAAAATGAACGCTGCACACATCACTATGTCTTGATGCACTTTTTATGTATGTTTGGATGCATATTTGTGCGCACAAAGTGTCATGGAGATCTCGAGTAATGAAAGGCTCCGTTTGCAAATTGTAAATTACAGTTCCAACTTTCCTGCTTTGCCTTCTGACTATAGAGCGAATCAGAGCCACCAGCTTACATTTCTGTACACTGATTAGTTTTTAATTCAAACCCCGCCCCTAACCATCAGCATTAAGGCTCCTCCCCTCCACACACGTCAGAGAAGCACCATGGGTTGTTTGTGTTGTTGTTTGTTTTTTAAACCATCAGAACTTTTTCCATTTAATTTTGAGAATCTGAAGTGCTGCTGTTTCTGTGCTCGACTCTGGTTTAGTTGGACCGCGTGTGGTCATGAGGACCGTAGAGTTCATAACGCTTCTGTGTGTGATGTGACCATTTTGCCTTACATGTTTTCCAGGACTAATTAAAGAGCATAACTAAAAGATGTGTTTACAGAGTCGTTATTGAACAAGCTGCAGATATACATTTAGACTAGAGCAATACACATTATTTAGGTTTATAAAAGGATTTTATTCAATCTGATCTGAGATGAGGTAGAAAGGTTCTAGCTGTACTTGACCTGATGTGCTATCCAAATGCTTTTTACAACCCAGTGTCCTATCATTCACAAAACTATGTACACACAATACACAATGTTCTCAATGGGTTTAGTTAAATATTTACAGTTCAGTTTACCAGTGTGATGTGGCTTGTTTAGGGGGGAAACACTTGTTTTTCACCAAATTTATAAATATTCTTGCACACTTGACACATTTACTTTACAAAAACTACTGAGGTTTGTTAAGGTTAATAAGAAAACTATTTGCCTGTTTTTTGATGAGGTAAGAGAAACTAATCTTCATTTAAATGTAAAAAAACAAGTGTATTTCTCTCACCCCTGTTGTAAATTTACTTTGTTTTAAACCAACCATTTTGGTTAATTTTTCTTAAAACAAGTGAATGAATATCATAATTGTTACTTTCCTTCTAATGTGAATATATTAAAAGGAAGTAGTGTGAAAATGTAACCACACGGTAAAATGACAAAGATACTGATAAACACATTTATTAATATTATTATTTGAAGTGTAGCACAAACAGTACATTTCATTTCATAAAACATTTGTTTACAGACGTGGATAACCTGGAAATAATAATAATAAAAAAATCAGGCTAGGAAATGCAGTGGGAATTTCCTTACTACATATAATATGTCGAAACATTGGCTAGAAATTGATTGTTAATGTGAGTGCAATGTTTGTATATATATATATATATATATATATATATATATATATATATCCTTGATAAAGAATCTGATACGACATTCAGGAAACTTATCTAGTATGAAGTCTTGAAGATTAATGAGATGTAATCTAAGTTGTTTTAAGTGTTTCAAGTTTTCTTGCTGTTAAACTTGTTAAAAACACTCAACATTGAATTGTTAAAAAATATCAGCAAAAAATCATGTTCATTAATACTAATTAAATGTTTCCAGAAATGGATAGCTGTTATTCAAAAAGAAATGGGATGCTTGAGATTTTCAGTCGACGCCTGAATCTAGTAAAGCAACATTCCTCTAGAAAACATGGCATCTACAACTCTGTAGTCAAACTCAAGGCTCCTCAAAGCACTCTAGTGTTTTCCACAGTGGTCTTTTTAGTGCCAGTTTCTGTCATGAACATAATTCCCAATCTTTTCTTTCTGTGTCCAGCACCATGACTGTGCCCATGTGAATTACGATTACCTCTGTGTCCACTACTGTGTGTTTCATGGCCTCTTTTAACACGTGAGCCTCGGGTATGTCCACTCCGATGCCCATGTCTATGCTCAGTACCATGAACCCTCTTATGAGATGGTCTCCTACCATGTCCAGTTGTTTTCTCTTTACTCCTGAGCGTTTTTGTCTTCTCAGGTGCCCCTGAAAACACTTTATGTCCTTGATGGACTTCATCAAGACACAGGGGGCAGATGAACTGTTGGTCTCCCAATGGTTTGTTGTGCCTTGAGCAAATATTTCCTTTAGATTCCCCACTTACAACAATCACTGTGCGCTTTTCTCTGGGATAGTCATTGTTATGATATCTTAGGTGAATCTTACAGGATGAATCCTCGCTTTCTGGACACATCTTCAAAGGTTTGAGTTTTTTGGCAGTGCAGATTTCTCTCACCGTGTGTCCAGGTCCATTGTAATGTGTGGGAGGAGAATCCTGAAGTCCTGTGTTTTTAAACCGCTCCACCACTTCAGCAAACATGGTGTTTTTGTTGAGAACTGGCCGAGGTGAGAAGGTCTTCCTGCACTGAGGGCAACTGTAACCACCATCTTTGCCACCCTTTTTATCCCAATAGTCTTTAACACAGCCCATGCAGTAATTGTGTCCGCAGGGAATCGTCACTGGATCCTGGAGTGCATCCAGACAGATGGGACAGTTGAATGGATCAAGGTCTTTGAAACACACCTCTGCCATTTCACACACTTATCTGAACGAATAATTGTCTGTGTTACAGTCAGTTTCTGCTCTCTCTCTCCCTACATATCATGTTCCACACTGAGTGTGTGAGGGCAAAAAAGAGAGAAAAAGAAACAGGTGTGTTTGAGTGCATAAACCTGTTGGACAGGTATGAGCATCTCAACCCTGTCAACAAAGTATTTTTTCATTTGTTTTTTTCTTGAGAAAATGCACTACTAGCCAAAATTTGGACACGCCTACTATTTTTTTTTCTATGATTAATACAGACATTAAAACTGTAAAATGCAAATGTATTTGAAGAAGCTCAAATAAAAGACAGCTTTGATTTTTTAATCATATAGCCTTTCTACTAAGTTGTCACTATAAGTCTAGATTAAAGCTCTGCACATTGCAGCTCAACCAACTTCTTGAAGAACATAATGAGATTGTATTTTTTTATATAAATAAAGATTTAAAGGTCCAATCGGCTATGTAAGAATTTTGTAATTAAATATCCAAAAATCACTTGCACAGAGTGATACATTTCTTGCAGTTGTGTACTTACAATATCCCAAAAGTTACCTAAGTTATTTTATTTCAGAGAAATTCCAATTTTAAATAAGTGGCCGTCCCGGAAAAAAATGTCGCCTGTAAATGACGCAATATCCACACTATCCTCAGTTTCCGCTCGTACTGCCATGACGTAACCATGGCGACAGACGTGGACAACTGCGTAGCGAGTAACGATTAGCGGCACCCAGTTCTTGTTTCGTTCAAATATAGACCATGGCAAGCAGACTTTGGGACAAACAAGGAGAACTAAAATGAGGATCAATATCAGCGTGATATTTTTGAGATGCCTAGAGCTAGCATCCGAGACTGACTTCCACTCGACAGAGAGCTGGCGTCCGTGACTAATTTGGACTTGACAGAACTTCACGAGTCACGATTTTACAGCTTTATTAGACAGGTGAGCAAATGTACATAAAACAAATCAATATCATAACGTTAGATTGACATTATGAAATGTTAGAATATGGTCAGTATGTTATTCTTATGTTGATCTAGCTGCTAGTTTCGTATAGCAAACGAACTAACACGTAGAATAACATTATATCTTTCAGCACACATTTAAATACTGTTTAATGTGTTATACCAAGTGGAACAGCGCTGTGTTTCCCTCACAAATTTAATTCATCTAATAAACTGACCTGTGTGACTCGAGTAATCCAGCACTTGCATGTAGACTAGTTCAATAGGATGAACTTTCCTTATTCCTTTATATCCGCGGGACTCGCGTGTGATATGTCTCTTATTAGCAATCGCAACCTGCTTTATACCACTGTAATGTTAAAAACATGAGTGTTTTCACTGATCCATAAACATTGTCAGATCCATCATCAGCTTGACAGCAAGCCCCATCATTCAGCTCGTCATTGCGTCATAAACATACGCCTTTGTTATTGTTGTAAACTGCACCCTCTTGTGGCCAAAAAAAGCTACATATTGTAGCTTTAAATAAAAAATGTTAAGCATAAGCATTTGCGAGAAACGCGTATGTAGCCTAATGTTAATGAAAAAGTCTCTGATGCTCTGGAATTATTTGATCAAAAATACAGTAAAACAGTAATATTTAGAAATTTTACATTTTAAAATAAGTTTTCTATTTGAAATTATTTGAATGTATTTTTTTTCTATTAAGACGAATTTTCAGCATCATTACATTATCATTAGTGTCACGTGATCCTTCAGAAATCATTTTTTATGCTCAAAAAACATGTATTATTATTATCAATGTTGAAAACAGTTGTGCTGCTAAATATGTTTATTTTTATGAAGAAAAGTTGAAAAGAACAGCATTTATTTGAAATAGAAATCATTGGTAAAATTAAACATATTTACTGCAACCATTGATCAGTTAAATATATTGTTGCTCAATTAAAACTAAAAGTATTAATTTCCGTTTCTTTTTTAAATCTTACTGATGCCAAACTTAATTTGAACGGTAGTGGATATTGGGTTTTGTGTACAAAATGTTGCTATTTATTTAGTTCATTTTTAAAAGATCCAAACTTGAGGTCTGATCTCTTTCTTTGATCATTTAGAAATAAACTTATTTATATTTTTTCAAAGGTCAGATCTACAAACACCTCTATAAGTTACAAACAAAATTCAGTTTTTAACAACACTATACATGAATTCAATAATTTGCTAATTAGGTAATTTCAATAATTAGGTTATAGGTAAAAATAACCTCCAGTTTCTTTATCCCACTACATTAAGCATTTGCAACTACAGGCCGTGGAGAAAGTTTCTTGCTTTGTAATCCCAGTAGCTGCTGATGCAGTCCAAGTAGAAACTCAGTCCACAGGGAATCGGTGCAGGACCGCTGAGTTGCTCTTGGAGCAGCAGATCTCTGTGCTCAGCCATTTTAAAGACAATGCAATGGAAAGACTAAGAATATACTGCCAAAAGCAGTGTTCCTGCTCTGAAAGCAGAGGACTGTGGGTGTCTATACAGATTCAGGGAAAATAACATCCCAAAGGGCACAAACTGAGAACGTTCAATATGTTATGGCTCGATATTGACAGTAAATTTGAAACAAATGGTGTATATAATGTATTTGGAAAAATGTAACTTGAAATTACATTTTGATTTGTTTTCCTAAAACGTCTGTTGCTTGTCAAATTTAGAAAACCGGTTTAATCAAGTCCATGTTAAATTATGAATGTTTAATCTCTTAAATCAAATATTCTAAATGCCTTTATGATAAATGAAACTGGGTAAAATGAGCTGCATGTATAATTATCCATGGCATGCTCGACATCTCCTGGTAAAATAGCCTCTTCCACCATTTGATTAGTTCAGGTGTGCCTGACCTCAGTAGTCACGGCAACAATAATCAGACACACCTGAATTAATCAAGCTTGGCCAATAATGGCAGACAGGAAACAAGGAGCTGGCTTAAGTTCATGAAGTAGTGCAGCTGTGCATAAAGCCAATTGAAGTTTGTTTTGTGTTTTTCATCTTTAAAATTTCACAATTTTATCTCATGATTACCTATTTTAATTTTACATTAGTGTCAGAAACAGACTCGCACACAAATATCTGCCCTATATGTTGGAAAGGTGATGAATGCAAATAACAATTTTAGCCAAATTCCAGAATTAATGATGAGAGCTTAACACTGGCTTCAAAATGCCTGGTGGGATTTGAAGACTATACATTCAGCATAATAGTTGTACATTCGCCGGAGAAGGTCCAGACGTCTGCAGAGCTGAGATGCTACTGAATCAATCTCCAGCCTCTGTTATGACACTAAGGACGGATTCAAAAAAAGGAGAGAGAAAGGGAATATGAGTCATGACCCTGTTGCTCAGATTCCTGGACGTGCAGGAATGTTGCGGTGTGCAGTGGAAAGAAGGAACGAGGGAAATATTGAGAAGATTTTTTCATATGTATGTACATTTTAATGTACAGTAAAAATTCATGTTACTGGAATAAATTGTATTCAGCCTAAAGACCTATGTGCATTGAAAATACAATATTAATAAGTATTGTAGTATTTTTATACAAGGCCATTTAACCATTTGGCAATTATTCAGAACACCCTATAACCCAAAATTCTTAGCATTACCCATAATGCAGTAGCATTGTGGCAGCAAAAAAAAAAAATCTAGTTAGCTTACAGCTTACTCAAAATCGATTACTTATTATTATGTGCCTTCCTTATATGGTTTTAAAACAAAATTATACACAGTTTCAATATTGCAAAGATTTAGCATTAATACCAGATAAAAACAAAATAGTTAAGATCATGAACAAGGTGGATGAAGGATGAGTTACAATGAATCTCTAAAACAAGATCATAGTTTTATTAAAAAGCATGCTCAACAGATTCAGAATATACAGAGCATTATATTGAGCATTACTGATAAGGTACAATGATTTTAACATGACAATGACACTCTAAAATGATTACAAAAAGTACAAAAACAAATTATTGTTAGCAAAAATACTTGCAATAATTAAGCAGTATCTCACGATCACATTTTTTAAAATTTACATTTCTAGGTAAGATCTATGTGAAAATAAGTAATACACAATTTAATACGTATTTGTGGTCTTCTGATTTGTGTTATTGTCAAGGTCAGGATTTGGCTTGATCTTGACTGATTGCAGCTGCTCCTTCAATCCCATGAGTCACCAGTGCCTCAGACAAGAGAGTAAGGAATGTAGAGTCAGGATATCCATTTCTGCACACAAACAAACAAAAGTTGAATTGGAAATTTGGAAAGTGGAAATTCTTCACAAAAGTTAATCTATTAGATTTAGTGATAAATATAGAAACTAGATGTCTAGTTACGCTTCACGGCTATAAAGGCTTTTAAAAACACTCGACTAAAAAAAAAATCAACTTTATATTAATATTCAAATATGAATTCTGATTCCTTTTTGCTACCTTGAATTAAATTCAGGAATTTAAAAATTCAAAAATTTTAAAAAGCATTCTATATTTAATTCTGAATGATGCACAACCCTTACTGACCCTGGTCAACTCAACTGGCAATGAGTAGCACATAGCATATACCATATGTTTTAACCATGCCACCACAGATATCCTGCACAGCCATGTACTTCATTTGTGTTCATTCCTGACAGATTATTATCTATTAATCAAAAATAGCTGCTCTCTACTACAAAGAAGATACTAGTTTGTTGGCACTGAGAGGCCTATAGTTGTTGGACACATACATGTGTCAAAGATGACTATTGGCAAATTCTTGCCAAAAAGGTATTAGAAAATAAAAGTAATTAGAGAATAAGTGAAGAGTTCAGATGCAAAAGCCTCTAAATGCCATTTGAAATTTTCTTCTTTAATGATGCTTTTTATCAAACTTGTATATTTAAGTTCAGTAATTTTACTTAAATAACAATTAATAGGTAATTATCATTGCCATTTAATTGAAATTACTGAACTTAAATATACAAGTTTGATAAAAATCGCCATTAAAGAAGAAAATTTCAAATGGCATTTAGAGGCTTTTGCATCTGAACTCTTCAAGTGCTCTCTAAAAATCACAGAAATCACACGTTA